ATTGTCGTTCATCGAGAAACTTTTTAAAAGTTCATTATTAAAACTATCCTGATCATCATCATCTGCTTCTATGTAAACAACCACATTATGATGACCTCCGATAGCTTTTCCCGTTGTCAGAGCACTTCCGAGTCGCACATAATTACCCTAGTTTTGCTGTTGTTATTGCTTTTTGCGTTTCAGTAAGAGTGATATTCGGAGATGGGTACGCTTACTTCGTGTTGTTTCATCAATGGCACAAGAGAAATTTTGAAATAGCTAGTGTATTTCAACACATGCACTACGCCTCGTGTTAAAGCTAAAAAATAAAGCTTTCGAGCGATCAACACCTTAGGGAGACCATGGATTAGAGTCGTCGAGGTGAATGAATGACTATCTTCACCTGTATCACTTCTAGTATCACTTGTAGTTCCATTGATCGTCGAGTGATTCGGGCTGGTGCCAGTAAATCTTCAATTTTTCCCTATCGAGTGCAAGACTAGTCCAATTAACTCTGCTCGCTCTAGGGACTTGTTGAGCATCATATCTTCCTTTTAGGCTTTTCGTGAAGAACTTTGACCATCGGGTCGGTGGTCTTTCTCCAGTGCGTTTGACATCTCCAGGAATCTAGTTACTAACGGCTCTTGACCATCACTTGTCATTCATACCCATTACATGTCCAGCCCACGTTACTTTCGACTGTTTGGCGTACAGAACGGCATCATTGATTTTTGATCGTTGACGCAGGTCGGAGATTCGGATCGCATCCCTTAGTTATGTGAAACGAGATACTCCTAGCATCGTCCTTTCACTGCACGTTCGAAAATGCTGAGTGATCTCTCATCCTGCTTACGCAACGACCAGGTTTCTGACGCATACATTAGGGCAGAAAGTATCGTTGAGTCGAAAAGGTGGGCACGGAGTCGGATGTTCCTTATTCTCACCCCTACATCCCCGATGCTCTTGAAAGCTCCCCAAACCGCTCGTTTCCTTCTGCTCAACTCTGGAGCTAAGTCGTTCATCATGTTCATTTCCCGACCTAGGTAGAAATAACTAGAGTATTCGTAGATAATCGTTCCGTCGAGTGTGAATGGGGCATACGAAGCCAGTCCGTTCCTCATGAACATTGTTTTTGCGAGATTAAGTCGAAGACCAATCTTTCCACAGGCTTTATCAAAGTGCGCAAGCAAACGTGCCGCTTAGCTAATGTTTGGTGTTATTAGGACGATGTCATCAGCAAAGCGAAGATGGTGTAACTGCCGACCATCCATTTTCACTACCATATTATCCCATTCCATTGCTTGCATGACATTCTGGAGGGTGGCGGTAAATAATTTTGGTGATATGATATCACCTTGCCTGACTCCTCTTTTGACGTCAATTTTAATATCGTTGTAGAATGGTGATATCTTAGTTGTGAAATTTTTGTACAGCCACGAAGAATTTTTATGTACTGAGTTTGGACTCCTTGAATATCAAGAGCTTCCATGACTGCTTCTATCTCAATTGAATCAAGGGCCTTCTGTAAATGGATGAAAGTGAGACAGAGCAGTCTTTTGTATTATAGCCATACTTCAATGAGTCTTGTTATCGTGTGAATGTGGTGTCCATCGTAGTGAATCCTTTTGGAAACCCTGCTTGCTCACGTGGCTGTCCTTCGTCCAGTGTTCTATCACTCCTGTTTAGGATGACTCGAGTGAAAAGTTTGTAGACGACAGACACCAAGCAGATTGGGCGATAGTTGCGGATATCGTGGAGATCACCGTTCTTGATATCGTTCTTAACATTAGCACGCTCTTGCTGGTCTTCCATTGAATAGAGACCTTGCATTCAAACAGGTAATGTGTGAAGAGCTGAGCCAGTGTATTTGTGAGGACTGTTGGAAGGTTCTTTAGGAGTTCAGATCTTGTCCTGTCTGGGCCTGGAGTTGTTCGATTTCTCACCACCGAAATGGCATGTCGAATTTCGGAAGAGAGAACCGGTGTTACAACATTTCCATCCTTCTTTGTTTCATATGACGGAGGGTTGACGTGGCTATTGAAAACATCAGAGCAGTAATTGTGAATGACTTTCTCTGTTGCTTTTCTGGAAGCTGTAACTGTGCCGGCAAGTGGTCGGAGTGCGATCATCTTGGTTTTGAAAGTTGCGTAGTTACGGCAAACTTTGCGAATGGTTTTTCCACGCTTTGCTGCTTCGACCTTAGTTTCTACTCTTCTCTCTTTAAGATCTTCTTTTATCGCCTGTCTGCATTGTTTTGCAAGTTTGGACGTTAGTTAGCGGTTGCCTGCAGCTCGTGCGATTCCACGCTGGAGTATCAGCTCGAGAGTTTCTCGAGACGGACGCCTTTTGGTGACTTTCGAACTCTCAGCTTTCATAGCGCTAACGTGAAGATGTTGAATGAGCCGATAGTATTCCTTGTCGATGTTATCGACAACGGTGTTTTTTTCCAACGGCCGGCTAATGAGTTAAATAAGTCCCAGTTTGTAGTGGTTCGGGTCTTCTTTTTTTGTTTCCGTACTCGCCCTACCCAACGTTGCCGAATTGGGGCTCTTTCACGGTCAGGAGAATGAGGCCCGTTTCTTTTACTGTGTTTAGCATTCTGATACCTACATATAGCTTTCTGATACTTAGGTGTAGCTTACCAGTCTCTCCCAGAGTGAACACGGAACTTATTTGTTGGAGGAGACTCCTAACCGTCTCTCATATATCGCTTGATTGCAGGCTTTTGTCCGAATTGACTCGTAGGATAGAATACGCACAAACTTGAATGCACCCACACATGCGTACATGAATACGGCTCGTAAAGTGAGTCCATCCCTTGGATCCACCTGCGTCTCAGGGAAACATACGGTCGCACTTAGTCCGCGATTAACCCCCCTTCCGCCACCTTGGAGTGCCCCACGTAGCCTCGCGATTAGCCGGCTCGAGATCCCTCATATGAAGGACCTCCGTGATATAGAATGACCTGTGGTGCTTAGAATAAATGTTTTTGCACCATCTAGTTCTCCAACGGCGAGCGATCAAGTGCCAACGAGCACGTGTGGTACTGTAAGGCACTGCTTGTCAGGGCGCTACACATGCCCAGCGTTTCCAAAGAACGCCTCTAAAATTAAAATCGCTTTCACGAGAACAGAGCTTATCCTTGACGTCGACGATTTAATGATAGTATTGTAAGTGGATCTACGCAAAATTGGTCGACAATCAGCAGAACTGAAAGCATCCACTGAAACACCATATCCGACCATCAGAAATCTCAATTTTTTTTTTACTTTCTCGACTCGATATCACAAGATGTTCGGATTTCAGCACTTCTTGTACTCGGATCGTTTTTCCTCGCATCCATCATCCACGAAGGTCTTTCGATTTTGGTGTGGGCTTGGCTGTTGCTTGAAAATTTTTGTCTTTCTTAATTGAATGCCATTGAATGCTGGTGGAGCCAGCCGTACCTAGAGTCTTGGGATAGCCGCCCCAGGTGTTCCGTGTTCCTCACATAGACGCGAGCTTTTGCGGTTTCGGTAGGAGCTACCTGGTCCTGGATAGATTCTGTAACATATTCCTAGCCCCAAGTGATGAGAATCTTGGTGCGTTCGTATCGAATAGCGCTATGCTTGTACTGAACGGCATCACTACCTGCTGGGTTAAGTTAAGAAAGAAATATTGCCTTTTTTGCGTTTCAACAAATATTCAGTGTTTAACACTGAACAACCATCACCTAATGATACCTATTGACGAAGCACGAAGAACGCACGCGAACGTAGAATAATGTCATTTATTATTAACGGGCGAATAGTGGAGTGATTAGAGATACCCTGGAATAAACACGTGGTCAGTGGTTTGATCTCATTCCCTAGGTAAACCGGTCCCTCTATTTGTAGGGAGTCGACAAATTGGTACCAAACTGATCAGCAAGGCGTACTGTTTATTCTCCACGCTTTATGGTATTATTTAGCGGATCCGCTTCTTGTTAGGCTACCCGAGCAGCACTTGGAGAATCTACGTAGCTCGTCCGCCCATGGTCCAGCAGGTACGTGTTTAAACTGGTAGGACCAAAATCACTACTTAGTCACAAATCACTATGTACATACGTAACACGTGATCCCCCGGAAACGGTAATCGCGATTCAATCTGGCCTGGGGTCCAGATTTTGCACATATTTCAGCATAATTGCGGTTCTATTTCACATAATACGCTGTCGTGGAAAAAATAATGGGGAGTAGATAAAATTGTACACTATGTACTCAATCACAACCGAAGTCGGTTATTCGTGGATGAGCTTACTGTCTCTGCAGAATCAGATGGATTTGTATCTTAGATATACTTCCTACGGCCTAAGTGAACCACAATTTGGGCAAAAACCCGCAACTGAATCTACTGAGATGTACATGGCAGAGTTTATGTGGGCATTACCAACTAATAAACCGTAAACCTACTCTGGAAGAGTTTGACGGGCGGGCTCTCATATCTCCTACGTTGTGATGGTCTTCGCGTTTTTCTCTATTACGATTGCCGCCCATTCGGGCAGGTTTGGTGTGGGACAGGGACCATAGACAAGAAAAGACACTGTTAGTGCCCTCAACGCGACTCAGTCGATGATTGCAGGTAATATGTGTAGTGTTGCTCTTCTTCTCAACCGTCAACAGTGTATGAATTGATTTAGTTCCTCTATTCCGATTCCTTCCACCATAGTTTTTTTTTCGTTTTTTGATTTCCTTTTTTCTATTCTCTCTGACGCTCGATGTGCTTATGTCACTTAAACGATACTCTACAATTTTTTCCTATTAAAGTTTTTTCATATGATTACATGTGAGTACTGCGTGACTGCAACTATGTTGAAAACGCCATCATTCTACACCGCATGGTTAATTCTCTAGGATTTTTGTAAACTTCTTTTACAGGTCAACCAAACAACGTTCTTACTGTAACACGTAACAGAATTTCTGAATGATTTCCTAAAATGCGACTTGAAAGTAACATCTACTTCTATCTGGTCGTTCGACTGCTTTGTGTGGTTAGTATTTTTTCTGGTTGAACTTAACTGTGATATAAAATCATTTCGCTTATTACGTTGCTACGTTTTCTATAGAGCGCGACAACGTGAAGTAAGACGTTGTGAGAAATTGGGTTCAAAGTTTATACTAGTATCTTTTGTAGAACAATGTTTTCTTTAGATAAACTGCCTGGTAGTGCTTTTCTGTGTGGCTTTCTCGACAGGTTGGACCAGTCGACTGGCACCAGTAATTGGTCTCATTTTCAATCTAGCCTGTTTAGTGTTTATTGGTGGTGCTATAACTACCTTATTTGTTTGGAAACTCAACGAAATGTCATTACCGAAGGTTTCCTTTAGTTTCCACTATTTTTCATTCGATTACTCTGTGTCAAAGTGTAGACTCTTTCCCTAATCGTCTAAAGTGCTTCCGATTTCTTTATCAATAGTTTAGACATTTTTTATTTAACTAGTAATCAAAAACTGTTATATTGTTCTCCTATAGAGCTCAACTAATTATTTCGACAACAACATATGAAGTAAAAGTGAGAAAAGAAACTATTTCGAGAATTTTCTGGGCGAAGTTAAACATAGGTGTGAGGCTGCGAAAGGGTCTTGCAGCATGAAAACTGTACACGGCCAGGAAACCACTATTTAATACAAATATAGCAAAGGTGAGCGCCGGGATAGCGCAATGGTATTGGTGATACCGTCGATCATGAAGCAAAAGGCTCCCCGCCACAACTCTCTCCTCCAAAACACGTGGGAACGCCTTAGCCGGGCTATCTTTAAGATAGCAAGGACATATAACTCGGCCACCTTTCTAATACATTCATTCTACTACTTCCATAAATAAAACGAAATCCTCAAGCAGCAGCCGAAACAACACGCGAAATCTTCGCAGACCATTGTGGATGATGAATTCGAGGAAAACGAATAGAATGCAAGAGGTGCTGGAATTCGCATAGTAAATGTGATAAGGGGTCAAATAAACAAAGTAGTACAGGTAGTGGAGAGTGTAATACAGGGTTGGGTGAGTACAAAGTTAATTTAAAAAACTTCATAATGGAGCAAGAAGCCTTACAGATGGTGGCGATCGGTAACAACCATGTGTCATAGAAGATGAACACAGGAATTGGCTCTACGCAAAGCGTTTCGATGGTTTGTGCGAAACTACTACTATGTTATTAACAAATTTAAGAAGACCATCTAGTTGAAGGGTTAAAAATAATAGCTTTGATCAATAAAGTTAAAGCTAGTGATTGGAAAATGAGAGCTGCATGACTAGAACGAAAAGAAATTATGTGTGCGGCTTTTTTTCTTGGTGCAATAAGAACGCTTCGTTCTTTGATAGGATTGTAACCTCTTGTAAAAGTGGATTCTGTCCGACAAATGGCGAGATCTCAAGGTGGATCTGGCTAAATGATTACAGTAGAAAGAAACCGTGAAAGAACTGTCATAGGAAACTGTGCCTCACGCTCCTATTAAACTAACAACCAACGGATTGCCACTTTTTTTCTAATGTAGCTGGACAACTTTCTTCACCAAAAAGCACTCACGATTTAGGAGGCAATCGAAAATTACTAGATACAGAGATTCAAATTTAGGTGTAGGCGAAATATTCCAGCATCTAAGACTTCGGCAAGAGATAATGATTGTATCTGTTCGAATTTTTCTGTTTACACGAGGTTGTAATATAAGCTGAACAATTCAGAGAGGTACATCTTTTGTTGACGCGGAGGGCATGTGAAAATCGGGTTAGTAACAGTAGTGATGGTATTAATCCTAACAGAGTGCATAATAAAGGAGAATTTTAAAGAAGGCAACAGCTTGAGAGACAGGCGAGACGAAGGACCCGCATGGCGTGGTGGTGAACGCGCTACTCCCCGGAAAGGACGATAGCGCGTTCGTTCCCCACCGCAGACACCTGCGGTCCGGAGTTTTTCAAATAGCTCAGTATCATTGAAGGCAACAACATTCTTAATTTTTCTTCCAGAAGACTGGAATTTGATAGTTGGAAAATTTTTAAGTAAATAGAGTAACAGAGTTTAAGTAAGTAACAAATGATCTGATGATTTGTTGGACTATAGCTTCAGAAAACAATCGATACGTATTTTTACCATGTATAGTTTAGCGTTGTATATTCATGCTGGTGTTCATGATGTTATCGATCATCACCGGTGTGATGTTTGCTGTCGCGCCCACAATCTGTGATTCATTCAGTAAATATGGATGTTTTGAAAGTTATTATTCACCTGCATTAAAAGTCGCTGCGGTATGTTACATATATTTGAACTCGTTTACCAATCCTTTGTATTCCTAACCTTTTCGTTTGAATTTTTAAAAGGAACCGTCCACTTTATATCACATCATTTCCAATAACATAAGAAAAGTTAAAGTACGGCGCTAATCGGCCTTTTAAAGATGTACCATGCATTTGATTCCATTCGTACCATAGTGGAGTCGATTGCAGGCATATCAGGCCTATACACTGACTTGTGGTGGTAGACCAATACAAGTCAGTGTTTTATTTCCTCAGACAACTATGATACCGGTAGAATGATACGCTTGGTGCAGAATCGAACTAGCGAGCGACGCAATACCTGTGGCAGGGCATCTCTAACTAATGCGTTACAGTCGCAAAGTTGCAAACTAATGAACAAGATAAAGTAGTGTACTGTACTTAAAGTACTTTTATTCGGAATTCCCTTCACCATATTAACAGATTCAACTTATCGTTTCTCTCCAGTTGAACAACTCTGCTTTTTTCACCAACCCTATCTTCATAATGCATAACCTACTGGTCGCAAAGGAAGACGTCGATGTTCAGGCGTTCCTGGAATTCAAGCTTGCATAGCTGTAAAAAAGGTGATCGTCACTTGTTGTAGATAACCAGTTATCATTTCGGTTACTCAATCCACAATTTGTGGTCGTCAAAAATGGTAATCATGGACTTTTTTCTGCGTTTTTTTTCCTACGAACAATCTTTAGTTCTATAAACTAATGTAATCAGTTAGTGCTCAAATCATATAGCCTACGAGATGCTAAATCATAGAGCCTACGAGAGAAGAACAATTCTATGCCGATTGAATACAATTTAATCTGGCTGGCTGCAACAGAGCGATCGGCTAGATTATCCCATATATTCAGGACATAGGTTCAGATCAGAGATGAAAGAACAGTGTAGACCTGTTGCGTTTCTTTTTGATAAACACTACCAAATTTTGCGAAAGTTGGGCCAATAATAGAATTTCTAGACCTGTTACTAGCAGATGTCATTCAAAGGATGGCTGACTGACTTCGTTTTCCAACTAATGATTACAGTAGTACTTTAGTGAAGAATTTTGGTAAGCATTGGTTATTACAGAGAGAGTGTCACGAAGTAACGAATCGCAGGTCAATCTCGTTCTCTCTTAATTTGTCTGTAGTTCTTAAAAGTCGTTCTCTTTTGCAATTTTTTTTGAATAAGTTTCCAACTGTGATTGAGAGGCTGAAAATTTAATATTATATTGCTCTCGATGGAAAGCGTATCGAATAACTGCAATATTAACGAAGTAACTTATCGCAGAACTTGTTAATCACCCATGACCTCATGTACCGTAGCTCATTTATTATTTCCTTTTTTTTCGAAGAGCGAATAGTACAGTGGTAGTGATGCCGATCACCACGTGCACGGTGATGGTTCGGTCCTGCTTCAGGCACACTAGGCCTCTCATCCACTACCTCCTCTCCCGGGGATCGGGATCGGGAAAGCGGTGCTGGACTTCTCTGGGAAAAGTTCGCTCTCTGCAACACAAGTTAGCCCGCTGTCTAAGGATCCAGAGAGAATCGACTCAACCATCATTGCGAGAACGCCGAGGTAAACAACAGTTAGCAACGCATATGATAAGCACATCCATCTACTATGTCAAGCGATGATACGACAAGTGAGAGACGAAAAAATCATTCTGATATCAGATCGAAACATCACTTCGACAATGCGACTCGTATGCACCGATTGTTTCGTGATCTGCACCTCTATCTCTGAATAAGTCTTTTCTATATCGACTTTCTCATAACTTCGTCATGGATGCTCAGTATCCTTTTAGATTGCTCGGCTTGCACGAGATTGGCACAGAAATTCCATATGCGACCAGCGTTTCGATGTCTTCGTCTTTTTCAGAGCCGCGATGATTCGAGTCGATTGTTCACAAATTCGGGTCTTCATAATCATATCGAATCGAATCTTCTGGAGGGGATTACCGCTCGAATGAACTAAACTCATCCGATAGGGTCATTTTATAAAGGACGGTTGTTCAGTGGTTGCTCATCCAAAAATTCTTATACCAATCTCGTGTTAGCTGAAGGATCTGGATACATACTGCTGAATTTGTTCAGGCACCGATCATCATGTTCAGGAACGAAGTCGCAACAAATTCAACATTAGCGGAACGAACGGTACAAATACACTTGTGCTTAAATATTTAGATCAATATTATCCACGGAGAGATGGTTTCACGAGTGTTTTTGGCGGTATTTTGTTGTGCACATACTCGTTACCTGTTAAGCCCAAGATTAAAGAAACAATACAGCTTTCTTAAAAACTGCATGTTAAGTCTATAAGCATTTTTTAAAGGACATTTGAACTTCATAATGGACCATTTTCACTAACCACATCATCCGTATCACCTGTGGTCCCGTTGATCACCGAGTGACTAGAGCGGATACCAGTAAATCTTCCATTTTTCCCTGTCGCCTGCAAGAGTGGTCCAGTGGCTCTGCTCGTTTTAAGGAGTCGTAGAGCATCACATCTTTCTTCTAGGGTTTTCGTGAAGAACTCTGACCATCGAGTTGGTGAACTTCCTGAAGTGCGTAACATCCCAAGGAATCCAGTCAGTAACGGCTCTTGTTCATCGGTTGTCGTTCATACTCAATACTTGTCCGGCCCACCCTATCTTCGGTTATTTGGCGTGCAGAACGGCATCGTTGACGCAGGTCGGAGCGTATCAAAAAACTAAACATAGTGAAAGAAACTAACAACGTAAGAAATGATAAATAAGACTGACTGTTAAGAAAAAAAGAAGTCGTATTGGATCCTATCTCAAGAGTAGTATAAAAAGAGATGTTGTACTGCCTGAAGATTTCTGTGAGTTGACCTTGCTCTCGGCTATGAAATTCAATGCTGTCGTTTTTGCTTACCAACAAGTATTGCTGGTTATTTGGTGCACTAAAAAATCTTTTTCAGGCATTTGCTTTCATTTCCGTCGCTTTCTCAATAATTGATTTGATTCTGAACTTTTTCTTCTACCACCGGCGACATACGGTAGTACCAGCGCCAACAACAGGACCAATACCGCATTTTCCAAAAGTTGCGATGTCTCCGACACCTTCTATTCTGAAAAAGAAATCATTGACTTTCAGCGATGAAGAGTAAGTTATTTCAAAAACACTATCAAAGTGAGGTGGAAAAGTAGCATAGAATAAAGAAAGGATGAATGTCCATTCAACCTGGTACGAAGGATATGTGAAATGAAGAGCATAGATGTTCATATGATAGAACTGTCAAGTATAGAAGTCAGCGTTCTAAAGTAAAGCAAGGAGGGCGGCAAAGGTGAAAAAAGTATGCCAAAGTGATAATATTATATAATGGAAAGCAGAACCAAGATTTTTTTAAATAGAAACCCGCTAGAATGAATAGGAAAATAAACGAAAAGAGAATAGGATTCTGGATAGTCTTTGTGTTTCTAATGTGTCTTACTTCTAACAGCTTCACAACGCACTGAAACCGATTCAAATTTGGACGAAAAGCAAGTTCTTCACTACTTCCATCATTCTGCGCGTTGTACTCCATCAGGTCTTTCGATATCCGCTTAGGTTCGGTTGCCGTTTGGGGATTTTGCTTTTTAATAAATGTCGTTGACTGCTGGTCGTGATCTAGAATCTTCTCTAGTAGAGGAAAATTAGATGCTAAGAATGACAATCCATTGGTCGTTGTCACTTACGAATTGTGATGCGGTTAGAGTTGATTATAATTTCCAAGCGATTCGCCACGCATTTCACTCCATTCGTAGCATCATAGAGGTGACTAGATGCATCTTTGGTCTATACAGTGATCTGTATGGGCATATAAGTTACTATATCAGTTATTTGCCTACAAAGACTGTCACTTAAGCGGACTTCACTTTCTTTATAGCTTGGAGGAGACAAGTAGATCGCAGCTTACTCAGTGAGGTACCTTCGTAACCTCGACAAAACAACAAAGTTATATCAATGTTTTTCATCAATAAGCAGACACGAGGTTGTTAATATAGAATTTATTAGAACACAATTGCTGACGTTTCGGCGGTTTCGCCTTCTTCAGAGCCTGGAAAGGTCAAATTGAGATGTGATCTACTCAGCCAAACACTTTCACAACCCTAGCAGATAAAACTTGACAATTCGATTTGCATTCGCATAAGAAACAGCTTCATTCAAACACCTACCGTTTATTTGTTGTAAGTATTTAAGTTAGTTGGTGGATAGCCGCCGCACAGAGTAATACATGGTCGATAACTGGGTCCATGTCAGATCATTGGATCAGCCTGAGGTATGGCGCTAGGTCACGCGTGATGACAAGACACTCCTCCTTGCGGTTCATTTTTGAATTTTTGGCATTGATCCAAAACGCTTCAAGAGTTTTTCGCGCTGATGTTTTCGATTCCTGCGTAAGGATAGTGACTCCTACCTCAAAATCTTCTCCGTTGTGTTCTTGCATCCTATGCGCGCCTAGTGGTGTATTTTGTTTTAGTTTAGATT